TGGAAATCTTTTGGGGGTAAAATTTTAAGTTCAAAAGAACTTGGCACTACAGAGATTTTTCTAAACTATTTTGAGTCACTATAAATCTGTCTTTACACAAGAGGTACCAGATGACTATTTGCGGTCTTTTTTGGGGGCAGGGGTTCTATGATTTGATGTTGCACCTTCTGATCCACCATGGGTTGCAGCTGTCTTCTGTTTTGCTTTAGTAACTCTCCGATGAGCACACTGCAGCCTAGGTCGAGCTGGTTACTCTGACCCGGTGGCATTCATAGTTGTGGTTTTCTCAGCTGCCCCCACAGGACATTTCCGGCGCAGAAATAATCGCACAGGTGAATGAAGTCCTTCTGCTGTTGTCCCCTGGGGACTGGTAAGGCTGCTTGTCTTAGGAAAGAAATAAGGAGTGCTGGGGACAGAGGGGGCAAAGGATGATCTATAGGACTAGACGTCGGGCTCCGTACAAATCGTATTGTTGCCTTTTTGCAAAACATTGCTGTACTGTGTGTTCTCTTTGAGGGCTTTTATATGCAACTGAACGAGGGCTGACGTTTTCATTAGAATTGCACTCGCACTCCAACTGTACTTCTCGATGAAAACCCACTTTTGGATCATTAGACCCATCAAGGCTTCCTTTTCTGTTCACAGAATTATGCCGACTTTGTCAAGTTACCTTGGCAGGGATTCCCTGCAGTCAAAAAGACTGGTAGCGATTTTTGGTTCCAAGTTTTTAAATATTACGTAACCTGTTAATGTTTTTTTGTTGTTTTTTTGTTTGTTTGTTTTGTAAATAACACTTTGTTATGAAGACCTTACAGACCTCTTCTTAAGACATTCTTACTCCAGATCCAGGCAAAAACACTTCAAGGTTTGTAAATGACTATTTCCTGACGTAAATTCTTTTTTATTAAAATGCAAAATGATCTTCAGAATAAAACTGTGTTAATAATTTTATTGTACTTGGGAGCCCTCCTCGCAAAGAGCTGGTGTTCACCAGTGAGAGCTTCGGGAGGGGCAGGTACTCTGTGAGGGCACTTCTGTAATTATGTAGATTTTTTTTCTTATCCTCTTGGCACCTTCTCCTTTTTTTCTTATCCTCATGCCGACGGTAACTTAAGTCCAGCTGCAGAGAGCACTGTTTCTCCTAAAGGGCTAACCCACTATCACCGTCATCTCAGACTCTGTGTCTCTCCACCGAGCACTGGTCTTTCTTACTGTGTGGCTTGGCTCACCATCATCAGTCCAAAACTGCCGTAACGGGACTGAGTTTTCTGGTATAGTCGGTGATCTTTTCTAGTCAGCACTTAACTGGCATTTTTACAGGCTGCACCACTCCTGATGTCTGTCTGCATTAAGCCTGCTTCGACTGCTCATCTAACATTCAGTTTTTCTTTGGAAGAAAAATTTGCAGTTGTAGAGCATGGTTTTCTTTCTTTCAGGAAGATCTTTTAAGATTAAACGTCTCTCCTTTTTAGTTCCCCTCCCACTCCCTAAAAAAAGTCATTTTGTTGTGTCCCCAGGAATAGTACATTTAGTTTCCTTCATCTTGTGTTTTCCATAATATCACGAAACAGAAATGGCAGCAAGAACCTCGTTAAAATGGTCTCTGTGATTTCCATCCAGACGACCGGGCCACGCAGCACCTCCCAGCCTGATTCTGAGATGTTTCAGAATCGGCCAGTGGCTGGGAGGGGTGGGTTGTGAAGGCCCCAGAAGCTTCTCCAGTGCAGGACGGGCTTAACCTGCCTGATGAACCCACTTTAACGGCTGATGCCACGCTTGTGAGAGAAACCAGAGCAGTTTATTCTGTGTTGTTTATGTTTTGCAGTCCTAAGTGTCTTTGCCCATTGCCTGTTTTCCTGCAAAGGTTTTTACTGTTAGGCTGGGTGGTCAGTTTGTCCTGAAAACTGGTTAGCGTCACACACAGAGTTCCAACTCCTTTACTAGCCTCCCCGACTCAAAAACGGACTCCAGCTATGGCCTTCATTTGCTGAAAAAAAGTTTTTACTTCTCTAAAATGATATTCCTTCCCTACTGCGGACCTAGGAGGGCAGGCGAGGAAGAGGAGCAGGCCTGGGGCCCTTGCTTCTAACCAGAGAACGAGAGCCAGAATGGCTGGGAGGGCGCCCTGTGGGGACGGTGGCAGGAGATGTGATGGGAGGCTGGGTCTCAAGACGGGGCCAGTGGAGAAGGGTGTATGGCTTTTCTGGCTTTTAAGAGAAAGGCACCTAGGCGTTTGATCTGATGCTAAGTCGTGCTGTGGAAATCTGAAATGACCTTTGGGTGGAGGAACACGGTTTGGCTTGAGAGAAGACTCTATTTGAATTTGTGGAAATGGCTCCTGCAGCCTGCACAAGGGCCACACGAGGCCGGACGTTAAGGCGCCAGAGTCCCACCTCCGGGACCTGCCCTTTCCTGGCCACCTGCGGGCAGGCTGCTCCTCTAGCTGTGTGTTCTGGCTCTTATTCTACCAGGAAGAACCCTCTGCTGACGCGGCAGCTTAAACACTGGCTTCTTCAGAGAGGTCAGTGTTCTGACCACTCGGCACACTTGCAGCTTTCTGTTAGGCTTTCTCAGCCATTTTTGGAAATGTACGTTTTTCCTTTTGGGGAGTACTGCAGGCTTTTTGCTAAGGGACTTAAACGACGTCTTCCTGGTTCTTCAAGAGGCTGAGCGCCGGCCGGTCTCCATGCCGCTCGGGCTGCCAGACTATGGCTCATCCTCCCCGATTCCAGTTCGCACTTTCCTCCCCTCTCTGGCTTCCTTGGCCAACAGCCCTCTCTTTCTGAGGTCGGAGCTTTCTTCGTGGTGGTGGACCCTTCAGAGCCTTCAGGTTAGGACACGGGCCACAGGCTCCACCCTGCCCACGTGGCCACAGCACTCAGCTGTCAGGGCTCGAGGGAGGAACCGCCTCAGATCAGAATATTCTGTCCTGGGTCTGAACTCCAATAGCAGTTTTCTGTTGGGTCCTGGATACACACGACACTCATGGTCTCCTCCTCTGAAACGTGTGTGTATGTGGCAGTGTCATGTGATCGCATGGAACGAGGCCCCGTAGCAAGGGCGGGAGAGGGGCCTGGGTGTCATCCACCGTACAGGCTCCCCTTACACACTTCGCTTTGCCCGTCGACACACGCACACTAGTGCATCAGCCACTGTCTCGGAGGCCGAGGGCACCACAGTACGCAGAGGTGACCGAACTGAATGTCCACGTCACCTGCCATACCGGCGCCAGAGGAGGTCAGCGCAGTCACACTCAGGCCTGGGACCCCCCCCCCCCCCCCCCCAGCCCCCCCCCCCCCCCGCACACCTGACGTGTCACTTCGTGGCCCTCAGAGCAGGGGGCTGGCACCTGCACTCCTACTGTTCCTTCGCCCCCGCAGGCAGCTCCAAGACCCAGAGGAGGCCTGTGGGCGGCAGGTGGGGACCTCTCTAGGAGAAAGACGTCTCTTGGCAGATGGAGAATTTTCTTTCTTGACCCTCCGTTGGAACCGAAAATAAAGCAAGATACAGGTAAGATGAAACAAGATTTGCTTAAGGAGTTTTAAAGGAAGGATGGTGTGATGGCTTTCTTCTTTCCACCCTTCTGGAAATCTTTCTCAGAAACGTTAAGTTGCAGCTGTTGGGCCTCCAAGGCACCTCAGTCCACTGTGATCCAGGGTGAAGCCAGGAATGTTCCATTTTCCTCCCCTCCTGATTCTGGGTCCAGCACGACAGGTTTCCATATAGCAAGCACTTCCATTCTTTCTCGCCATAGACAGTGGCTTTTGGATATTGTCAGAAAAATCAATCCAAAATGCATTCAAGTTTTCATTACCTTGTAGAGACAGTCTGGATAATGACAGTCTCAGTTCAAAGATAAGTTACGGCATTGCACTATTGAATTATAAGAAGTTTAAAGATCAGAGAGCTGTCTTAAATGTTACTTTGTATCTGTTTTCCCCGCCCCGCCCCCGCAAACTCAAATCTTTTTGCCAATTTATTTTTCTTTCACTCAACTGCGTTGTTGTTTTTTTTTTTTTTTTTTTTTTTTTACAGGATCAGGATCATAGTTTTACTTGACTGCTTTTTCCGTCAGTCTGGCTCCCCGCCTGGTCTGTTGCTGTGGACGTCTGGAGAATGTGAATGAGCCAGCTGTGGCCACTGCTGAGCCCTCCATCTCCCCAGGCTGAGAGGGAGGCTTTGCATGGAGCGGGCCAGGGATGCAGGTCTGCTCTGGGTTTCTAGGTTTCCTGGCAACAGGAAAATCTTTAAAAATGCTAAACCCTGAAACCCATGGTAGTGAAAAGGCCCTGCAGACTCCTGAGTCCTGGAAAAAGTCCCAGAATTCCTCTCATCGGGCTGATGGTGTTAATAAGAAGCAGAGCATCAGAGAGGTGGGCTGCAAGCCCCTCAGAGGGACCCAACTGAGCACCAGTTCCTGCCTCACTCTGGGAGTGAAATCAGGAAGCGGCAGAGAAAGGAGAAGCCTGTTTCTTCCAGCAGGCAGCTTTCCCTCTGGACACTGGAGGCTTGTGCACACATCCCAGCAGAGCTCCACGCTCCCTAACTCCTGTGGGACCCTCGGCCTCCGCTGCAGCTTTCAGCCTGAGGGGGAGGATGCCCCGGCCTCTGTGCAAGCACCCTACTCTTGGACGGGCTTGCCTCCAGAGGGAGCCTGGGAGAGAGCCACTTTCCTCAAGTCCTATCAGGACCCGGGAACACAGCAGGACCCTGGGTTGGAGAGCGCCGCGGAACACAAGACAAGGACCTGGCCAGAGTTACCCATTCTCCACCGGCCTCCCGTCCCCTTTGCTGTCCTACCAGGAGGCAGGGAGGAGGGGCCCCAGCCAGAATGCCGGCCTTCCCCAGAGGGCCCCCAGGGACATGCTGGGAAGAAAGAACCCGACTCACTGACCAATACTGGTTTCATTTCTTAAATTATCCAATTCTTGGCCATCAAGTTGTAACATTCTAGAGAGATCCAGGAAAGCACATTTGGCGCCAAGGGCTGTGCTGAGCCTTCCTACCCAGGGACAGCCTCAGCGCTGGGTGGCCAGGGTCCTGGGCTTGTAGACAGGGACAGCCTCGTCCCAGAGAGCTGGCCGCCCCTTGATGATGTCGGCTGCCTTCTCTGCGATCATGATGGTGGGGGCGTTTAGGTTGCCGCTGACCACACTGGGCATGATGGAGGCGTCGACCACCCTGAGGTTTTCCACCCCGAGGACCCTGGTCTGCGGGTCCACCACCGCCATGGGGTCGGAGGGCTGGCCCATCTTGCAGGTGCATGATGGGTGGTAGGCGCTGTCTGCCTTTGCCCGCACAAAGGCGTCTATCTCCTTATCTGACTGGACGTGGCTTCCTGGCTGGAGCTCCTTCCCCCGGAACGGTGCCAGAGCCTTCTGTGCAAAAATTTCTCTGGTCAGCCTCACACACCGACGGAAGTCATCGATGTCAGTTTCTGTCAAGGAGAAGGAACAGGTTAGATGCCTCCTCTTACCATGCTGGCCTCGCTGGAAGATTCGCCACTGGGAGAGGCTCAAGAAGCTGCCCGAGGGGACACGGTTCAGGGACATGGAGGTCCGAGCCACTAGGCTGCCTGTCACCTACCCATCAGCAGTTACAGTGCAACCAAGCAGAGTCCCACGAAGCCCAGACAGACAGCATCCTAGAGGGACACAGCTTGCCCCAGAGGCCCTACGTTTAAATCGGGGATCTGAATTTTCTTATCTATAAAACAGAGATAAGACTACACGTCCTGCCTCTGCCACAGCGTGAGTATTATTGGGCAAAACCTGCCCAGTGGGGACTGTGCAGTTTTACTGTGCATAAAGAGGCAGGCCCAGGAGTGTAATTTGCTTTTAGAAGATACTCACAGGAACAGTAAGAAAAAGGTTCTGTGAGCTATCTATACACAGCCAGATCTCCTTGCGTCTCTTGGTAGATTGTTCTGGAAGCTGCAAATCCTGCCTACTGTGTAAAATGGTGTGTCAGGGTTACTTCACGTGACCGAGGGCACTACAGAGCAACACGTGCACGTTTACTGCCCAGGACAATGGGGTGGAGGGAGGACAGAATGTGTGACTTGCGTCTCAAAAATGGGGTCCAGGGGTGAGACTCAGGGACAAATATGAACCCCAGAAAGGCGTTCATTCGTGCAGTCAATCCATCAAGGACCCAACAAGCCCAGGTCTGGGAGAGACAAAGGTGGCTGAATTACCTGTTGACAAGTAGTTGGGTTGGATCACAGGGTGGTCATGGGGGTTGGCACTTCTCAGTTTGAGCCAGCCCACGCTCGTGCCCCGCATGGTCCCCACGTGCACCTGGAAGAGCCCAGAGAGGCGGTGACCCCTGTTAACCCCCCAGCTTAGTCATTTAGAGAGGCCCCGGGTTTCCTATGGTTCCTGGGACTCAACACCCAGAGTCAGTTAAGAGCAGATGCATTTTAAAATCTATCTGCATCTTACCAACCCCACCCCCAACACACACAAAAGGCATCAAAACCACCTCAGTCCCTCTCTCCTGCTTCCTGGCTTTATACCTGATGCCTCATGTTCAGGGGCTGGCGGTCCCTGGGCAGAGCCGGCTTCACTGTCCATTTCTAGTACTCAGGACCCGGTGCAGCTGCCCCGAGCTGGGTGCGGGTGTGGCCTTGCTGTGCAGCACCACGCAGTCTGCTTCACTCTACCTCCGGCTCCCCACCCGCCTTCCCTCCCCTCAGACACTCCAGGCAGCTGAAGAGCAGGGCACCGCCTTCTGGGCCGCCCACCCTGGAGGCCCTGCTGCAGTGGGGAGACGACCTGCTCACCTGGTAAGCCTCCTGCTGTGGGGGGACCCGCCCATGGTCGATCACCTGGGAAGGGAGGAAGTGGAACTGGATGTCCGGGTGGGGGACCCCAGGCTGGCTCCGGATGAACCCACCTGTTTCCAGATGGGCCGTGGCTCCATCCCCTGAGGATCAGAAGACGATGAGGCAGAAGAGCAAGTCCAGGCGTGGCAGGTGGGCCAGCCTCCTCTCTCCTGGGCACTTCCTCCTCCTCTTCCTGGCCCGTATTCTAGTGCCTGCACCCAAGTCCTCGACTCTGTCCTCCTTCCCCGAGGTGGGCTCACCCAGCACCAGGGCTTTCGATATCAGCTCCATGCCAAGGGGCTTCAGCTTTGCCCCTTCCCCTGACTCCACCCCTGCCAACTGGACTGTGGGACCTGATGTCCTATGGGCATCCCAAACCTACTGCAGCCCACCCTTCACACACAGGCCGTGATCCAGGTCAAGGCCCCCTTCCATCCAACCTCCCACTGTTGCAGGAAGGGGAACCCCTTCCAGGGCCCGATGAGTGGGGCTCTTCTCTAACACTCGGAAATGAATTGGCCGAGGAGGCGCACGTGCTGACAAAGCAAAAGACTTTATTGGGAAGGGGCGCCCGGGCAGAGAGCAGGAGGGTAAGGGAACCCAGGAGAACTGCTGTGCCACGTGGCTCACAGTCTCAGGTTTTATGGTGATGGGGTTAGCTTCCAGGGTGTCTCGGGCCAAGCATCTTGCTCGGCCCATCGTCTGACTCAGGGTCCTTCCTGGTGGCATGCGCATCTCTCAGCCAAGATGGATCCCAGCACAAAGGATTCTGGGAGGCTGGTCGTCTCTGCCCTCTTTTGGCCCCTCCCAAATCCTCCCGGTTAGTTTTCACCAGCAGTACCATGTTCTTTTTTGGGACCTCCTGTTGCTAGACACCTCAGGCAAGAGGCTATCATCGTGCCTGGCCAAGGCGGGTGGTTTTGGTTAATGGTTCCCTAACAACTCGAGAGCCCACTCTCGGGCCCTGGAAGGGGTCTCCCTTCCTGCAACAGCTGGCGACTCTGGTGGAATCTCTTCTTTACCACGACTGACATCCTGACTGCTCAGGCACCAGCTCGCCTACCGACGGACCAGACCCAGAGGCCACCACTGGGAGCCTCTTGTCCCTGATCGCCTCCTGACGCAGATGACTGGCCAGAGTGCCCCGCCCAGGTAAGGAACAAGAGACGTCGCTGACGTCTTTGCCCTTCCCTCTCCCCTTCCTCTTCTCAACCCCTCCTATCCCACCCTCCTTTCTTCTGGATGCAGGGGTCTGGTTGAAGGGCTTCAGTTATCTGAGCGCCAGAGCCTGATCACCTCCGGTGGGCAGAGAACTTGAATTATCTGGTATCTGGTTTCTGGGAGGGCCGAGTTCCTGTCCTCCCTTCCTGGAAGCCCAGAGAAAAGTCCCGTAACGCCTGGGTGTCTGCAGGTGGCAGGAGATGTCCGTAAGGCCACCCCTTTTGTCCCCCACCCCCTCCTTCCCCTTCTCTCAAACTGCCCTCCTTTCCTCCCTTTGAAATCTCTGAAGACCTGAGATATTTCCATTTACTCTGTTCGTCAGTACTCGGATATGAAGTTCTCTGTCTCTGTAGGAGGTTTTCTGAGAGACTGCAACCTTGTATTTAAGGGAGTGTCTGATTAGGACAGCCGTGCCTGTGTGTGTTTCGTATTGTGTGTTCTGTGTTGCGATTTGTGATGGCCATTCTGCCTTACGAAATGGGAAATTTTGGTTCTGTTCCACTGCAGAGCCCTCTTGGGAGAATTCTGTCTGACTGGAAAGATCTTAGCTATGAGCCTATGACTAAGAAAAAGATGATATTCTATTATAACACTGTGTGGCCGGAATATTCTCTAGACTCCAGAGAAAACTGGTTTAGGTGAAACTCTTGAAAATTCCAAAACTGGTTCTTTTTGCATATACAGTTAGAAAAGGGAAGCCTGATAAAACGTCTTTTCAGAATTCTGACCCTGCGGGAATAACTCCTTCTGAGAGAACTTGCTTTTCTCGCCCTGTGCCTTGAGACCAGGGCTCTCAGGATCACTTATCTTATCTAGATCATCTCTGATTCCTGAGACTGAGGGGAAAAAAAACAATGTGGAAGGAACGCTTTCTAAATTTTACTTATTCCAACCATTATTTATAAACTAGTGAGTTTTATAATACCTGATTCATAACTAAGTTTAGAAAATGAAGCTTTGAGATCTCTGGTTTGTGTTTGTCTATATATCTGTGTGCGTTATAATATATGTCCTTACCTTTGGATGTTATTACCAAAATTAATTTTTTAATGAGCTCTATTTAATTGGCTTAAGGGAAATTTAGCGCTTATATAAATTTTCAAAAATACAGAAGGTAAGTGGCCAGAATTAATTTCAGGTTCATGTAAACCGGAAAATATTCAGTATTAAATTAATATCTGGTATTAAACTTAGTTTAAGCTTGTTAATTTAAATAGACATGTCTTCGTCATCAACATTAAGTATAAGACCTTTATTGTACCTAGGTTTAATAGAAGTCAAATAAGATCTTTCTTACTCTACCTGTTGTAAATCTGTCAGCAAGGAAAATAACTTGGTGTGATGAAATTTTTTAAGTGAATTAAAATACATGTGAGATCAGAGCCTTTGGGTGAACTTTTCAGGAATAGTTATATTTTAGGAATGTCTGTCTACGTGAGAATAATCTCTCCAGATACTTGGAAATATACTTGAAATTTAGAGTTGCTCTAAATTAAGTGATGGAAGTTTATTGAATAGCTAGGTGGTTCCCAAATAAAATAAGATACTGAGACATCAATTACTAAACGGAGAAACTAAATGTATTTAGGACTATTAATGAATATGTTTGGTGCCACCCTGAGATGTTCTCTATAAGAAAGCAGATGTTTTTCGAAATTATCACTAGTATTTACGTTTACCAATCTACAGAATGCTAATGTAAAAGTTCATAATTGCTGGGACTTCCCTGGTGGTGCAGTGGTTAGGATGCCGCGTTCCCAATGCAGGGGGCCCGGGTTCGATCCCTGATCAGGGAACTAGATCCCACATGCATGCTGCAACTAAGAGTTCACATGCCACAACTAAGGAGCCCGCCTGCTGCAACCAAGACCCAGTGCAACCAAACAAAAAAAAGCTCATAATTGCTTACCTCTTAGTTTTCACTAGAAATTAAGGTTTTTACGAGTTGAGGGCTCTAATTTAAACATGCAATTAAACCTAACAGAAATAATAAAGGAAGCATTTCAGTGTACAGCAGGAAAGTAGGATGTGTGTTTGCAGTGAAGAAGGTATGAGAATGGAATTGCATTTTATTAAAGGAAAAGAAAGTGAGTCTGTCTTAGAGCTGGTTGTTTCTCAATGGAGAAGAGAATGGGGGGCAGACTAATATGGCTACAGAAAGTGATGGAGGGTTTGTGGATGGTCAGGATTGGCTAGGTGTAGAGTACAGTTAATTAAGTGAATTTTGTTATTAAAAGCAGGCTGGTACAAGACTGGATCTGGCTTTCTCTCTTTAGTAAGAGGACAAAGTTTCCTTGGAATGCTGCTTTTGATAACAGATTGTGTGAGTTTCCATGCCTTTAAGTGATCTGTATTTGCTTTTGAGATCTCTTGTAACTTTGGTTAAGGAATAAGCATTATCTCACAATGACCTATGCTCTTATTTGACCAAGTGTTTTGAGACCTTTTGACAAACTTCCCAAATACCAAATTTTAATTAAAGTTCTTTTGACCTCCAGCTAACTTTTGGGGACACTTTAGAGGGTCTCTGAGGCATTTCAGAGAGAAATATCTAACTAGTATTATTTGGTATGTTAAATTACATGGAGAGCATTATCACACTAGTGATAAACCTACTTAGAATATACTCTATGGATAAATATTATTAATATACACGTTCTAGAAATTATATAAAGTTTCTGAAATTTGGATATGTCCTGGTATTGTTATAATATTAGTTATCTTAAAATGTTGTGTGTGACAGAAACTTGGTTAAGCTTCTTTGTCAAAAACATTGTAATCAGATCTTTAACCTTTGCCTTGTTAAGACTTTTTGTCGTTCACAGGCGGTTAAACTGATGCTTTGCAAAACAGCTTCGTCTTCAAGAAGATTCACAGAAAGGGCTTTAGACAAGTACAGGTTTCTGATAACTTTTAAATCATGCTACTCAACTAGGTAAGACTTTTTTTTTTTTTTTTTTTAGTAGCTATTTTATTTATGTCTTAGTTTTATTTATTTATTTATTTATTTAATTTTATTTTTGGCTGCACCGTGAGGCACGTGGGATCTTAGTTCCCCGACCAGGGATGGAACCCTTGGCGTCTTAACCACTGGACTGCAAGGGGAAATCCCAGGTGAGATATTTTTTTAACAGTCTAATGGAAACTGTTAACAAAAAGGATTAGTTACATAGGATTGAGTAAACTGATGAACGTGGTTATAATTTTTATGGTTTCCGTCTGAAACATTACTAGCTTTTAATCTGTGTTTTCCAGATATAAAGAAACCCCCTCAAACTAATTATGACTTGCAGCAATTTGGTAAATTGTACCTTTGGAAGCAGAATTGAAACCCTTCTCTTTTCTTTCTACCTGATCCCTCCAGAGACTGCAAACTCTTAGGTTCCCAGCAGCTGTATAAGATAAATTAGTAAAGCCGCCTCCTAACAGGTGCAGGAATCTCAAGTTATTTTGCGGACCTCAAAAAGGGAGGGATTCACCTAAATCTATAAGGCAAAATCTGTGACAGGCCCTTGGCGTGTGGCTTTCCTGGCCTTGGGAGGCCTTTTATCAAACTTAATTTGCAGACAAATTAATCTTGATTTGGAGATATCTGATAAAAATGAGGGTAATTTTAGGGAGAAAGAGACATTTCAGTGGATATCAAATTCTAATTCTGTTTACTGAGGTCTGTATTCACTAAGACTCACTTCTCGGATAGCTCCTTGCTGTTATGTTATATTGTTGCAAAGTTTAATTGAATCATTAAAAGGACACTCTAAATTTGTTTCTGAAGCTTAACTCAGTAATCTATCTTTGGATTAAGATCAGATGCTCCATGATCTGCAACCGGAACGTTAACACCAGGCTATGGTCATTTAAATTTAAAGGCTCCCTTATG